AGGGGGGGGAAGTCAAGGAAGGAATAGCCACACGGGCGGAGAAAGGGTAATACCTTAGAGCTCCTCCCGTTGCTCTGAAAGCTTGACCAGAACGGTGATTCGTTGTGCGACTTGACGAGCCAGTCGATCTCGTGGAGCTGCGAGGTGGACTTCAAAGGGATGCCCGGCAAGGGTTACCTCCGGTAGGCGCGTGTGGAGTATCAGCTGGTGGAAGGTAAGTATCGGCATGCCGATACAGTGTGAGCTACTACAGGGACGGCGGAGGGAGGGGAGGGGGGGGGGAGGAGAAGATGGAGGGTATTCAACAAGAGAGGTGGCGCATCATGCAGATCCTGTGGGGGTCCTAACTGCTGCACCGGCCGATTGATGGAGACGGAATGGTGGAGTGCACTATGCTCAACGGGATATGCATGACGAGATTCGCCAACGAGGCGACATACCTACAACATACTTACCTGGGTTGCGCACATGGTGGCCTACAGACTGCCTGAAACGGCAACCTCCTGGTCACAACAGACCAAGCGAGAGTGGGCTCGCCAAATGGAGGAAGTGTGGATGTTGGGCAGGGGACCCTGGCGAGGGAAGATTGATACGGAGGGAGACACAATCTTCACCTACCTGGTGCCGGTTACACGGGGAGGTAGCCCTACAAACATGGAGATCGCCGGCAGAGGTGTGCGCAGCAAGAATGGCTGAGCGCAAACACTGGCCATGGGTAAAGGTATATAAGCCATCCCAGCTGGCGGGTAAGTGGGTGCGAGAAGCAGTCGAGCATTCATAAAGAAGACCGGGAGTACACGAGGTACATTATCGATGGCCCGCTGAGGAGCCCGTTCAAGAAGAGTGTGGCAGTGGCCACAGGACCATACAGTTTTGAGGAGGTGCGTGTGATTACGAGTGAGACCCCATTTTGTGAAATTTGCTCAGACATGGCCACTTGGGAATGCATGGCCGATGACTCACACACGCTGAGACGCTGCAGGAGATTCACGACAGGGAGGTTAGGAGTGCAATGGACCCCATTCTGCAGTCCGACCCTGAGGAGGAGAGGCGGGCCTGGCGCGAATTGAAGCTGCAAATGGATAAGCTGGTGCTGGAGGAAGTGAGGGGGACGACAGGTGCAACAGGAGCAAGGGAAACAGATCTGCGACACAGAAGAAGGCCGCGGCATGGTGGGGGATACCTAACAAATGTGCCATGGGAGGGACGGGGAGACGACCCCATGCAGACAGACGAGCCACGCTGGTTGTTCGGAGAGGAACGCAAACGGAAAGTGGAACGACCACCGACAGCGGGTAAAGAGCCCAAGGTGGCTGGGATGCAGCAAGCAGAAAGGGGCCAACAAGTTGAGGAGGGTGGAATGCAAGCCGGGGCGGACGAGCTGGATACAGCCACCGACCAAGCAATGAAGGAAAGAGAGGGGGATAACAACGACGAACAAGATGGCTGTCAAGGGAGTCGAAAGGATGGAACCAGCAGAGAGGGGAGAATGGACGGGGAGGAGGAAGGAGGAACGACACGAGAGCTGGAGACGACTGTGGACCTAGGCAGTAGCTTGGGCAAGGAAGGACAGGAGGGGGGCGAGGACGGAGAGGGGGATCGACAGGACGGGTCGTTGGTGGGAAAGGGGGAAGTGCATGGGAACGAAGGGGGGAAAGGAATCGAGCAGACAACCAGCCAAGAGGAGTGGGAGACATGGGCCACATCGGGCTCGTCTGAATCAAGGGATTCTGAGAGTTCGGTGCAACAGGGCACCGAGAACCAGGGAGAAGAGGAAGTGGGAGGGGAGGACTCAGGCACGGGAGACTCTTCACAGGAGGGGAAAGAAGTTCAAAGAACCTGAGCCTGAAGGTAGATCTTCGGAGCGTGAGCCAACCCGAGCGGACACAGCCAGCACAGGCAGTGCAGTGAATGTGCAATGCGAGACCTGCAGCAACAGGTAACCATCTGGTTTGTGGAAGGTGAGATCTACAACATCAGGCCTTATGTGAAGAAAGGACTACTGACGGGGGAAAAGCTTTGAATTGGCTTTGGGAACTAGTCATTGAAGTGATTTGGGACGAGAGAAAAAGATTGACACAGGAGGGAAAGAGAGTGGACTGTGATGGGACGAATTGGTCACCTCTTCTCAACATGGTATTAAGAAGCCAGGAGGGATCAATCATGACATGAGCTTACCAGTGGGAGTGATACCTTGGCTAAGATCAGGGAGAGACTGTGGAGGAACGAACGAAGAGGAAGTGGGTAGATAACTGGCATCTCTGAACTCTTTGGGACAGAAGGAGGTGTTTCCTTTTGAGGTTGTGAGGCATGAAGCGGTGAAGCAAAGCGGATGGGAGCATAACAGTTTGTATGTTTTGACATGCTGGTTTACTGATCTGGACGAGCATAACAGTTTGTATGTTTTGACCTCCTGTTCTACCTTTCCAACGGCTCGTAGAAGCGCATTGAGCCTCACTGGTCGTCACCTTGAGCACACACACACAATGAGAGATTACACGAAATCCACACTGGAGACCAGAGATGCAAAGTCCAGATAAGCGCAGCTTAGAAATTCCAACAAATGATCATATAATATTAAGCAGTTTCAGAGTTCCAGTCACCAGCGCTCATCAGCGCTGAGTCCAGCAACCTCTCTCTCTCTCTCTCTCTGTCTCTGTCTCTGCAAGGAAGATAGCAATAGCGAACTTCAGCAATCAAACAGCATCATACACATGAGACCAGATAGTCGCGACCTCGAACCAAAAGCAGAATTGCATCACGAGTTTCACCAAATAAGAGCACACCAAAAGCTCATAATTGACAATGCTGGAATAGTCTCATCATCATCAATCGAAGAACCAATGCTGATATCCTATCTGGCGCTCGGCGCCCAGACTACGAATGGCAGATCCTATCTAGCCTAGACTACAATGCCGCTGATGACGTCAACAGCTTCCCAAGTACGAGCAGACCTCGGCCAATGCCGCACGCGTCAAGCACCAGGTATGTCTCGCGTATCACTCACAACCTCGTTCCCCAACTCACAGATGCCACTTGCACCCAAGGACCACCATGCGCCCCATCCAGCATACAGCAGCGCAGCTTGGCTATGGCTTCCTGCTCCTTCCAGCTCGCCCGTGAGCGTGTGAGCCTGGCAGGCGATAGCGCAGCAGCGCTTGCGCACAAAGCAGCCAGTGCCCGAACGTACAATCCGTGAGCAGGCCCTTCCCTATATCGAAGTGGCCTGCTGCTGTGTGCTGTGTTGCGGTACTGGACCTCGACACAGAAGCTTCCGGTAGGCCCAGGGAGGCTGAGCCTCTGTCCAAACAAAACAGGCCCAGGGCCTCCGACATTTACCCGTGCCCAACTGCTCACAGCCTGTGCTGGGTCCATCCTGCGTATCTCCCCCAGGGACTGACTTAGATACATTTGATAAAAGGAAGCCAGGGCCTGGGCGCCTTCAACCAACTGGCGCTGCGCAACTGCCTGAAATTCCCCAGTTGCGGGTTGACCCCAAAATAGGCCTGTAGGCCTCGGTCGGGCCTGCCCTCACTTAGGGCGGCCGACTGTACTGGAAATGGGGCCCTGTAGGGGCGTATTGAGGCCTTGTGCCTCGCATTCCCTCCTCCATACTTCGCTAGTCCTCTGAGAAGTTCAATCTTCGATAATCTGGCGCTTTCCCTTCTGCAGAGACTTTTCATAWTGGCTCACAACCTGAGGAGCGGTCTGCATCAGTTCCTCCCTGGTAAACCATCGGTCCTCCTTTGGATCAGTGTGATGTCTGAACCGAACTCTATACTGTAGCTTCGGTTTTGGAGGACRTCCTCTGCCTGTTGGTCTAGGAACTGTCATCTCCCTGTGATCAACAATGTTGACGATGTCGACTTCTCCATCCATGGTTGGGGGCGGCATAGAGCGACGAGAGGGAAACTGATCAGTTTCTCCGAACGGTGCAAGCTTAGAGGCGTGAAAAACAGGGTAAGTTCGTAAGTGACCAGGGATGCGAATAACATATGATGGTCCATCCGGTTCATCCCCAACAACATCGAGGACCTCCCATGGTCCAAAGTACTGCGGCATGAGCTTGCGGGAGATCCCGTGCTCCAGTCCCAGTTCTGAGGACTTAACCCAGACTCTCTCTCCTACCTGAAATGTGGATGGACGACGGTGTTTATTCTCAGACTCTATCATCGCCACGTGTGCCTTGTGCATTTGTTCGACAGCCTGCTCTGAACGGTGCAAGCTTAGAGGCGTGAAAAACAGGGTAAGTAAGTGACCAGGGATGCGAATAACATATGATGGGCCATCCGGTTCATCCCCACATCGAGAACCTCCCATGGTCCAAAGTACTGCGGCATGAGCTTGCGGGAGATCCCGTGCTCCTGTCCCAGTTCTGAGGACTTAACCCAGACTCTCTCTCCTACCTGAAATGTGGATGGACGGCGGTGTTTATTCTCAGACTCTATCATCGCCGCCTGTGCCTTGTGCATCTGTTCGACAGCCTGCTGCATCAGTTGCTCATATCGATAAGCAAACTCTAAGGTCCCTGGTGCAGCAGATGGATGATTCTCAGGTAGTAGGAAGTCCAAAGGCAGTCTAGGCTTGAAAGTCAGTAGCAAGCTGTTCGGGCTCACTCCCGTAGCGCTGTGCACAGCGTTGTTGTGCAGGCTGGCGATGAGAGCAAGTTTCTCATCCCAGTCTACCTGATTTGGCTTGACGTAATGCCTCAGCAGGTGTTGTACAGCGTGGTTCATCTGCTCTGCCTGCCCATTCGCCTCTGTGATTGCCTGATGTCATTTGCAACTACGTGCCCTGTTCTGCAGCTGCGGCTTTCCGCAGTGGTGAATCGCACATCCCGGTCGCTTATTATAGACTTAGGTAGTCCGAAATCTCTGACCCAGTTCTCTTTGAACAGCCGGATCACATACTCAGTTTTAGCTGTTGCAAGCATTGCAACTAACCTAACGTACTTACTAAACCTATCCACGATGACGTAGACGTAGCACATTCCACTCTTGCTGGTGACCAACGTATCCATGAAGTCCATGGACAGGCTCTCACCAGGCCTTTCCGGAATCGGAAGGGGCTTTAGAAGCCCAAGAGGGGCCTGTGTACGGGGCTTGTCTCTCTGACAGACCTGACAAGTCTCCACGTACAGCTTGGCATCTCTCATCATCGTGGGCCACCATAACCACTGCAGCAGACTGGCTGCAATCTTCTTAAAGCCAAAATGTCCGGTGGCATCATGACACTCACCTAAAAATAAACTACGCAAAGACTCCCTGTTGGGCACACACAAACGTTTATTCCCGGCCTTCTCAAGGAACAGCAAGCCGTTGGCCAACTCAAACTCGGCAAAAGTTACCTTGTCCTTCGCCTCGAGTCTGCGAATAATCTCAGACATGAACGGGTCCTCGCGATAGGCTTCCACCATAGAACGAGTGACATTGTCTGCAAGTCCGAACTCAGTGATCAGCGCACCAGAGAAGTCTGGCCTACACGACAGCGCATCAGCAACCTTGTTGTACTCACCTTTGATGTACTGGGGCACAAAGTCATGCTGCTCAATGACTTCAATCCAGCGTTTCAATGCATCGGAGAGCATAGGCTGGGTCCTCATCCACTTCAGGGTTTGATGATCAGTCCTAATGTAGAAGAACCTCCCAAGGAGATAGTGCCTCCAATGGGTGAGCGCCATGTAGATCGCATAGAGCTCCTCATAGGTGGACTTAGCCAACTTCTGAGAGGGCATCTTTTTGGACATGTACTCTACTGGCCTCAACTTCTTCCCCTCCTGCTGCACAAGTACGACGCCTATGCCATATTGGCTGGCATCCGTACTTACTACAAAAGGTTTGTCAGGATCAGGAAGTTTCAAGACCTCATGGTGTGTCAACGCATGCTTCAGATGTCTGAAGGCAGTCTCACACTTGTTTGTCCACTCCCATGGGCTGTCAAGGCGAGTCAGGTCCGTCAAAGGGGCGGCCACTATGCTGTAATTCTGAACAAAATTGCGGTAGTAGCCTGTCATCCCCAAAAAGGACCTCATCTCAGTCACAGACAAAGGACGCGGCCAGTCACGAATGCTGGCCACCTTCGCGTCATCGGGCTTCAAACCCTCCGCAGAAATCTCATGACCCAAGTAAAAGGTACGGGTGCGACCAAAATCACACTTCTCCCCGTTTATCTTGAACTTGTGCTGCCGAAGGAGATTGAGGATTTTGTCTAAGTGCGCTACATGCTCCTCGACAGTCCTACTCAAAATAAGTATGTCATCAAGGTACACGATGACAAACTTATCCAAGTAGTCATGAAATATCCGATTCATAGCGTGCTGAAAGGTGCCAGGAGCATTGCACAGGACGAAAGGCATCACCACAAACTCTTACAGACCGTACCTGGTCTGAAATGCGGTTTTGTGTTGATCCTCAGGCCGGATTGCAATTCGATGGTACCCAGACTTCAGATCTATCTTAATGAAGTACCGACATCCTTGCACTCTATCTAGCAAGTCGTCGATGCGCAGTACGGGCTCTCTGTTCTTGACAGTGATGGCACTGAGGCCCCTATAGTCAATGCACATCCTAAGTGTTCCTTCCTTCTTCGGTACGAGTAGGACTGGAGATCCATAAGGCGAAACACTCGGCCGGATCCAACCCTTCTCTACGAGTTCCTTAAGTTGTCGGCGAAGCTCGTCAAGCTCGCCTGGAGACATCCTATAGATCCTACCCTTCGGGATACTAGACCCTGGGATAATCTCTATTGCATGGGCGACCTCCCTCTCAACAACCCCTGTAGGTTCTTCAAATAGATCAGGGTACTTGGCAACTACTCCCTCTATCTCCGACGACATTTTCACTGGCTCGCCTGCTGCAGAGACATAGACTAGGTACATACCCTCCTCCGGATTTTGCTTATAATAGTTATAAAACGTGGCCGCACACATGCATCTGTGGGACTCGATCAGACTACTAGCTTTAAACTTACAAAATCTAGCGGTCCCCCCACCTGCCAAAGTGTGTTTGACCACTTTTCGGTCCCAGTCAAACTGGGGCTGTGCCACAGAGAGGTAGTACATACCTAACAACTAACTCATCTCTAGTAAACCAGCGATCTTCCGAAGGCTCTTGATAAGCAGATCTTACTTTATACTGTCACTGGGGTCTACCCCTGCGTCCCGATCTATAAACATCCTCTGCCACAATGCAATCCACATCATACTTGCCATCCATATCAGGAGGAATCATATATCTTCAAGACGGAAGTAGCTCATTGCTGACACAAGGGAGCAACTTAGGCATGAAACACCAGATAAGTGTGCAAATGCAGAGGAATCTCAACAACGTAGGAAGGACCATCCACATCACCAATCACGTCGTCCTGATCTATCAACATCTCTGCGACAATGCAATCAACGTCATACTTGCCATCCATATCAAGAGGAATCATAGATCTTCAAGACGGAAATAGCTCATTGCTGACGCAAGGGAGCAACTTAGGCATGAAACACCACATAAGTGTGCAAATGTGGAGGAATCTCAACAACGTAGGAAGGACCATCCACATCACTAATCATGTCGAGAATCTTCCATGGTCCCCTATACGCAGGCAATAACTTCTTAAAATGTTCTCCTCTGGGAGAAACTCCTTACGACTTTACCCAGACCAAATCCCCTACAACGAACTGCGAAGGTCTGCGATGTTTATTTGCTTGTTCTATCATTTGATGTTGTGCCTTTCTGATGTTCTCTCTCACCTTCTCTAAGTTTTCTTGATATTGCACAGCAAACTCTCTAGACCCTGGCAGAAGCCTTTGCACTTGATCAGGGTTCAGACAGTCAATGGGCCCGCGTGGACGCCAACCCAAATGCAGTTCAATGGGCGTTCTTGTTGTAGCCAAATGCACAAAATTGTTATAAGCACTAGCGACTTTAGCTAGATGTTCATCCCAGTCAATCTGATCTGATCGGATTTACATACGCAGCACCTGCTGCAGCACTGTGTTCATCTGCTCAGTCTGTCCGTTTGTCTCACGATGTCTACCTGAAGACATAGTCAGTTTGGATCCATTGACACTCATGAGCTGTTGCCAGTGCTCGCCCGTGAATCATGTATCCCTATCATTTACAATAGTCAAGGGATGACCGTAGTCTTTCACCCAATGATTAAAGAACTCCCGAATTACTAAATCTGTTCTAGCTTCAGCCGAGAGTGGTACAAAAACAGCAAACTTGCTAAATTTGTCCACTATCACCATAACCTGGCTTTTCTCATTCCTACTTCTCACTTTAGTGTCCATAAAGTCTATAGACATCGAGTCTTCGGGACCCGACGATATAGGTAGTGGTCTAAGTAAACCAAGGGAGGCTGCGTTGAACTCTTGTTTCACTGACACACTTTGGAGCCTTGAACATAGCCTATACAGTCATTCTTCATTGCAGTCCATGTAGAGGAATCTAGGAGGTAGTGTAAGTCTTCCTCCACCCGAAATGTCCTTTGGTGTCATGACATTCCCCTAGGATAGACTGCTGATCTCCTCACTGTTCGGTATGCACAATCTATCGTGCATGTCTGTCTTCTCAAACACCAGTCCTTGGGTCACTCTATAATCCAGAACTTCATGCAATGTTTGCACCTTGTTAATAAACTGACTATAGACTGGATCCCTAGCATAAGTGGTTCTAATCTTGTCTTGCAACTCGGCGCCTGCATCTAAATATGTTACAATGGCAACGAAGAAATCAGCTCGTCTACTCAACTCATCAGCAACAACGTTATACTTCCCTTTTACTGGCTTCAGTTCAAAGTCAACCTGGTCAATCTCCCCAGCCCACCTAGTCAACTTAGGTGTCATTCTAGCTTGGGTCTTTAGCCAGCAAAATGTTTCATGGTCTGAATACACTGTGAAGTGCCGCCCTAGGAGGTAGTGTCACCAATGATTCGAGGCTTCTCTAAGAGCAAACAACTCTCTCTCATACGTAGAAGCCGCGACCTTCTTACTAGGTATTCTACAAGACAAACTCGATGGGTCTGTACCCATTGTCATCATTTTGCTGGAGTACAACACCTATCCCATGTTGACTAGCGTCAATGGTCACTATAAACGGTAAGGACGGGTCAACGATCTTCAGAACCGGGTACTCTATCAAGCACTTCTTTAGACGCTTAAAGGCTGAGGTACAATCCTTGTCCCACTTCCAGACTGTTTCTTTCCTCAACAACCTACGCAACGGAGCATCCATCACAGTAAAGTTTCTCATGAACTGGCGGTAATAGTTGGCCAGACCAAGGAACGATCGTAGTTCCGTCAACGTACGCGGTGTCGACCAATCTCTAATTGCTGCTATCTTAGCGTCCTCCGGTTTTGATTCCATCTCCATCCAACGCATGTCCCAAGTACAACACTTGACGCTTAGTCCACTCACACTTCTTCGGTCTCAACTTAAACTCGGCCTCGCGCAACTTGCTCAACACTAAACGTAAGTGCTGCTCATGCTCTTCTAACGACTTACTAAAAATCAAAATATAGTCCAGGTATACAACAACAAATTTATCTAGCCAATCACGGAAGAGTTCATTCATACATCGCTGGAAAGTAGCAGGGCGTTAGTCAATCCAAACGACATCACCACAAACTCGTAGTGGCCATTCCGAGTTCCAAAGGCCGTTTTCTGCTGATCCTCGGGCAATACCTCAATTTGATGGTACTAATTCAAATCTATCTTTGAGAAAAACTTCCAACTCTTTACCCTATCCAAGAGATCGTCTATCGGCAGCAACGACTCCACATTCTTTATGATTATTGCATCAAGTCCCCTATAGTCTATACACATACCCGGATCGCCTTCTTTCTTTGGCACAAACAAGACTGGCGCACCATATGGCGAAGAACTTGGCCATTTTTCTATCAACTCATCCAACTGTCTATGCAACTCATCGAGCTCTTTGGAAGACAGCCGATAGATGGGGCCCATGGGAATCCGACTATCGGGTTCTATGTCTATCCGGTGTTGGTCTCCCTCTCAACTTCTCCACTTGGGGCTTCTCCCACATCAGTGAACTCGTCTAACAGACTTTGCAATTTGGGTGGTATGGGCACTGCTTCCTTTCTACCCTAAGTCAGGGAATGGAACAAGTGAAGGGAGAGATTTACAGTAGCCTATGAATCCTATTGACTATGGGAGAGCTGAAACAAGCCAGGGGTTGAGTGAAAAACAATTTTTTTTGAATGCTATGGACAAAGTTGGTCAGAGATAGAGCGCGTAAGGAGAGTGCATATATTTTTGGGAGTCGAGGAAGAGAAAACCTTAATCAACAAGACTAAAAGAGAGAGCTTAACAAGAGTTGCTGAGGTCTATGGTGAAGATGTCTTAAGGGAGGAGAGGGGCGAGAACTAGTACCTCAGGAGAGGGGGCCGGAGACCTGGATCCAGCGGGTTCGTGAAGAAGATGATGGAAACATGGAGAGCATGGGGGCAAAGTTGCATCTGCCAAGAGCAAGGAGGCTAGAGGAGAATATACCTCACTTCATTGGGCCGAAAGTGGACGAATTTCTAGACGATTGTGAGTTGTTTGCAATCATTTATCGATGGACAGAAAAACAGAAAATCCAGAATCTTTTAGGGTATGTTGAGTCCAGGCTAAGGCAGCAAGTGGTGGAATTAACTAAGGGTGTGACCTCTTGTGAAGAGGTAAAGAAACTTTTGGTACAGGAGTTCGACAATGATGATGTGCCTACTACAATATAAGACCTAATGAGGGTAAGGAGGGCGAAGTATGCTACCTTTAATACTTTTCTGCGGGATTTTGTGAGGGTAGCACGAAGGCTCCCCTTCCTTCATGAGGCCCAAAAGTGTCACATTTTCCTTGCAATTTTTTCAGAGGATGAGAGAAAAGCGGCTGTGAGCAGAGCGAGTCGATATCCACTGGAGTGGGAAGAGGTGGTAGAGACCATTAGGGCACTTCCAACAGTTTCTAAGAGGAAATTTTCCCTTCAACAGGTAAAACAGATTGGCCAAGAGTGGGGAGCTGCAAATAGAAAGAGTAAGGGCAAGGATGTCTCTGCAGAGGAAATTTAAAAACTTGTCATTAAACTTGGACCAGCAACGGTGAGTGAAGCTCAGATTGCAAATCCACAGATGATACCAGCCCCTGCAATGCAGGCCATTGAGATGAGAAGAGGAAGGCGGATGATGAAGAGGAAGACCGAGGAAAGAGGGAAAGGAGAGAGGAGAGAGGCCGAGGAAGGGCGAGTGCATCAGGGTATCCGAAGGAAAAAAATGTTTGATATTATTGTGCACAGGAAGGGCATACAACAACACGATGTAAGCTCTTAAGAGGGGATGTGGAGGAAGGGCTGGCAAAGAAAGATGAAAAAGGGCATGTATGTGACAGATCATGGAAATAAGGTGGATCCAAGAACCAAAG